ACCCGTCATGATGATGCCAGTCACAATGACCTTAATTAAGGATGTCAAATTTGTATAATAGTACCTACTATTAATTTTGATTTTCGACTGTGGCCTCTTTATGAGGGGGAACAACGCAATGGTCGACATTGTCTCCTGCTTGTCAGAGCTTTGCATTTGGTAAAGTGCCATAGATTTTTACTTTAATTTACAACTTTTGTGTTCAAGTGAGCTAAAATACTCACGTCGACACGCTTGGCAGCCAACCTCTATACTTATATAGACTTGCAGAGCAGTCAAACGTTAAATTGCTTCCGCAGGAAACTAAACGAATTAGCAAAAACAAAATGTCTGTGTTTTTGGTGCAGTCGTACACATTCTGCCCTCCACACGTCGAAAACCAGGAATCAGCAAGGCGTTTAGACTTGAGTCGTCTGGACAATCGGATGACACGTAATGTTCACATGCCGATAATGATCTGACATATAAAATTTAGCTGGAGCACAAATCGCCTCTAAAATGCCTAGCACTGAAGACAATTCAACTTATGCAAACGCCTGGCGCGATAAGACAGACAATGAAATGCGTTTCCGGCAATCGCTTGTTTTAAATGTTCAAGCCGTTCTGGAAACTTCAACAAGGAAGAATCTTATGTCGCTTATGCCTCCTCTAAATTGCCATTGAAGTCAACGTAAATAATATATGATTATTTTGTAGAATACACCTGTCTGCTGGTAGAGTAAGGACGAGCATGCCCATGTCTCTGTCCATGCTCTAACTAGATGCGAGTATTTGGAAGACCTGCAAGAAATTGTCAGCTTAAGATCCCGGTTTAGCACAGATTCCGATTTTTAGCTAATTTTATTGGGTCTGTGGTCCTCATAGAAATGATTGTGCCTTTGAAGCATGTGTCTTTTCAAAGGAAGAGGAGTATGTGCCCTGAGAGTTTTTCGAATATCGGCATCCAAGTCCCAAACCACCATCGATCGTCCCAGATACTAAAAAGTAAGTAAAATTCAGTTATAGAGAAATTGAGAAATTTTCTTCTATTCCCATTTTCTGCGCGAATGCGCAACAATGTGTTTTTGTTAACCGAACGATTCGTAAATGTCAGTCTTTTTGAAATTTCGTTGTATTTCGACTCCCAACTTTCTACACGCTGCCTTTGCAGGTAAACCCATGACCAGCCAACGAAACGAATGAGGAGACATAAACACACGAACGTTGCCACTTCACAAATGGGCAGTTCGCATGCGACAAGAATATTAATTTTTGTGAATAAATCCATGTGAAAAACGAAAAGTAAATAAAAATGAAAATTATCGAAATAGAAATTCACTCGAGGCTGACAGACACACCTTTGCATACGATGAGGTGTACTAAATTGTTGCGTTTGTGTTTTCTCCACACAAGGTTGAGCTCAAACTTGGGATAGGTTGGAACTGGAGGTGCGTCTAATCCCTCAATTGGGAACTTCTTGGAATGGATCGGAATGGATTCAGTTCCAGGGTAATTTTATTCTAAAGACAGGGTAAAGAACACACTATCAGTTTTTATTGAAAGCTTGGCTCAAGTGGCGGCAACTCCTGTTTTGGTATTTTATTCGTTGTTAGCACATTATTCAGAATTAATTTGCCAAATTAGCTTGACAAGCACGGACTCACGCAATCGGTGCAGATAATGTGTAACATGCAGAAGAAGATAATAGCATATTTTCTATTCAAACCTGAGGTCAACAATTAATTTTCTATTAGCTGTCAAAAGCGGACGTCGGATATTAGGCAGGTATGTAATATTTGCCTATTCCGGGGGAACTTTGAGGCTCTTACGAAAATTGTTGCGTTGCGTACAGAAATAACCTCCTTCTCATCATAATTAGGTATTTTGTACGGCCGCATTACCCAAAAACACTAGGACCGTAACTCCATACAAAACAAAATCTTTGAAAAACCATATTTTCCTGTTTTTCCTTTATAACATCGAAATGATTTGTACATTTAGTGCAAACGTGTAGATTCTGGAACAGACTTTTTACTTGTTCAAGTCATATCCATAGCATCGCTTTGGCGATAGAATATTCTTTTACAAATTCAATATTTAAATATCCAATTCCATTGCATACGTCCGTTTTATTATAACTTTGCACCTTTGATATAAGGGCCCGACGCGGCCGGGACCCTTTATGTGTAATTGTAATCAAGGCCAAAATGTAAGACATTTTTTACTGCTTGTTTATCCTTCGTACTGCGATTTCAATCGCCATGAGGGTTTTAACAACTCGTCTAGATGACAAAAATGATGTAGCGAAAAATAAGCCTTTATTCACATTAGTGACCGTCTGCGATCTATTTTTGTAGGGAAAACCTAGTTCAACATCGGATTAAGACATAATTCCGGATCAAGATCAGCAAGTAATCGGATGCTTTTATGGTTCTATTCTTTTTCCGAGGCCGAATCTCGACGTTACTAAATACATGTAGTAGGGAATTCACTTATTTTCCTTTGCTTGGCTTTGCGCCAAGATACATACCATTTAGGCTGACACACAATAAACTGGAATCGGATGAAGTTATGTGGTAGCTGTATACAATAGGAACAGATCAGCATTTCATTTCATGTGTAAGCAAATATGTCCAATTTAGCAATAGCTCCGATATATGCATATCCTACACCCGATTTTAATTAACGCCTTCTCAAAGTCATGGCATGCACTCTATACCAATAATTTTTTATACAAGAGGTCAGATATGTCATAAAAACATCTCCTTCAAATTTAGTGGAAATCCAAACTTTGGTTCCATTCGATGTCAAGTTTAAACGGCTCTACAGCCGTATCACGCAATGAATTACAATCATAGTTGGTTGATATGATTTACATTACACAAATTCCCAATATAAGCGTTTAAATAACGTGCGGATAGCTCTACTAAATATGGTGTTGGGTATCATAATTGTGACCCTGTCCAAATTTTGTCGTTACTTTGCTGGTTTTTAAACAAACTTTCTACATATCCTTTAAAATGCTTTGTGCTTTCGATTTTATTTACCACAATCTTGAAAACATCCAACTTCTTTCTGCCTCATAATCTTAAAATAAAAAGCAAATAGAGAAGATGTATTGGAGTGAACAAATGAGAGTTGAAATAATTTCCGCCAATTCTTCCTCAATAAAGATATGGACTTATTCCAGTGCGAAGGTGAGTATTTTCATACGTCACCCAGCCATTTAAGTAGGCGCCTTACATTGTCGAGCTTTTCCTTTTGGCCATTTCGATTGTTTAGACAAAACGAGCAAGTGAATATGGTTGATTCTGTTGTTGGACTGTTTGGTGTTGTTGCAGCACCGATAGATGCCAAGTGATTGGTCTCTTTTGCCAGCAAGCGGAGACGATTGAAAAGAAAACTAACAAATTATAAAAATATCAAAACATCAACAAATTAATTTTGAAGGTTAATTGAAAGTACGTCGGTTGGTTTCTTACGAACGACTGCCGCGGTCACCTAACGATGGCATTTGTTGTGCTTGAATGGCACCGCTATGCTGTTGTTTGGAACATTGAGCGTAATATGCACCAATTTAATAGCCTCAAGAAAAAGCATAACGCCGAAAGAAGAGTGATGATTTTGTTATTTTTGATCGAAGTTTGTTTGCTCTGTGGTATAAATTAAACAAAAGAAATAACCTTTAACATATTGTTTCAACATTGGAAAACGCACAAAGCAATAATTGGTTTTGAAAACGTTGGATGGTACCAATAAAACAGCTTCAAGCATGGTCTCATTGTACAAGGTAACATCAAGTGTCCTCGTACAGAAATTTGAAGCTAAAAGCAAATGAAAAAGTTGTTGGTAGAAAGTAATCGAAACGTCCAAATCGAGCATCGACCAATCATTTATAACTTAGCAGCCTTGAATTAAATAACTATGCCCACAAATATGAAACTCTTGGATTCAAGTTTATTTTATGGAAATTCATTTTTCTTGGTAAAAAAATTACACTCACTCCATACAACGACAGCATTCTCTGTTACCTTGCAACATGTAAGAAGTCTGAAGCTGGTTTATTCAAAGATAAGAGAGAATCCTTCTTTGTATACCCCAATGTCGTAGTACTAAAGCAATACAGATACAAATTAAGTTTTATTTAAAATCAAATATTCTTAGGCAATGTTTTAAATCTTCTCATGATCGGAATGATATCAAGTCCGACATAAAATATATTAGATACTAAAAATTCAATAATTTTTAGGAAGCTCCCAGAATCACAAGAGTTCCCACAAAGGCATTGGTTACATTTTGCAACCGCAACCCACCCAAACTTAGTAGTTTCTTAGACTTAGACTAAATACCACCAACAACAAGTAGTCAGCGTTGTTCTATTACAGTAGCGGACAAAAAATTGAATTCCTCATTTCTTTCGAATACTGCTTATGTATGGCAAAGGGTAAACTAATAGAAACTACAAACTGCATGGCAATCTTTCAAAGACAACATTTGAGTTCAAGAACAAGAAGGACGAATACCTAAAAATAATAGTTGACGGGATATAGATTTGACATTACTATTAGGTTCCATAAAGCATTTTGGTCCATAACACATCTCTGGTATTCACATTGTAACATGTTTGTAATAAATATAACAATAAATATTCCGGTAACAATTTGTGTGGCACAATGAAGACAAGGTAGGCTAACTTTAAAAAAAAAAAGTATAGAGATCAATCAAAAACCCAAACAACTGATTTTGCATAAATAATTGAGAACAACAAAAACTGAATAAAATAGGCATTTTGAAAACACCAGATTTTAAAAAATTTCCTGAACAAAGTTTTTATTATTTAAAAGAATACACACGCATAAACAAATAAAGTTCATATATTGAGCCAAGAAAATCAAATCAAAATCAAAAAATTGTACCATATGTACAACGATTTAATTTAACGTTTGTGGAACAGTTTAGTCTCCAATGGGCAACTCGCTGAAAAAAAATTTGGCAGGAAGGGAAAGCCAAATTGTACTTACCAACAAAAATTGAATATTCCTCATGCTGTGGAAGTGACTACCGTATAACTCTGCTCGAGTTCTCCAATGAACTGATTTTATGTGAAATATTTTTGTCCGGCTAGGGATACAAGAGAAACGAATAAATGATTATTTATGGGAAAATTAAGCACTAGCGGGTTTTAAATTGGTATGGCTTCTTATAGGTTCACATAAATAAATAAATAAATAAATCTTTCAACCACCACCAGCAACAAAGTTCTGTTATCCTTTAAACACATTTGAATTTATTTATAAATATTTTCTGTTCTGTATTGTTTTTTTTATTATTTTACTGTATTTTGAAAGTAAATATTTTTTTCTTAAAAAAACACACGCTAACACAAATTTTCGACCGAAAGCAGTTTTTCACCCACATCCAATTGTTTAACAGTAATGTTATTTTTTTTTTTGCACACCTTTTTTGTCTATGCGATGTTGAAGGCAAGGCAACGCGACCGTATGTCAGTAAAGCTGAAGTCAAACTAATTTTGTTAAAACCAAAATTTCCGTCAAGCCACAGCCAAGAGCGCACAGCAGACGAATCCGAAAGAAAGCAACATCAAATGCAAAATGCTAAGAGGTGAGGAGGGCTTTGGTGCTGGAGTTGTGTATAGCTGTAGTGTGTTGCGACTATGTCGAATGTATGGTGTTGGCTGGTACTTCCAACGAAACCAAAAGTTAAAATATGAAGAAGCAACAACTTGTTTGAGCCAAACAAATGTGACTGGCAAGACAACCTTTCCTTTTGTTAACGGAAAGTAGTCAACCAGTATTTCATGGTGCTCTGCTGGCAATGTTTGTGTCTTGAGGGGGTGACGAGGGATTGTTGGCTTCTTGTAAGTGTTTGACTGTGCCAAACTATCCATTTTTTATTAGGACAACGACATATTGTGTTGTCATAAATTATTGATTTGTACACATACCTACTGTTTCGACGCTTAATTTAACTATTACGAGTGCGCAACGCATATAGATCACACATCGTACTTATATCTTGACGCTCACTATCAATCAGCCAGGGGGACGGAAGGAAATTTCCGTTTATTTGTCTGTCAGATAGGCATTTGGGCAAATATATAAATGATTTTTAGCAACATTTCCAATGCACTTTTGGCAAGTGTGCGAGTCAAAGAGCTTCCCTGTCAAACCAGAAGTAGTCATCCAGACAACACGATCTACCAAAGAGTAATGGAAAGAGAGGGAGAGAGGCGAGCAACACCAATACAACATAGACCAGCCGCTCAGATGTAAAAGCCTGAAAAAACTTTCGCTGAAAGCGTTATTAACATCATCGGCAGACTCCATTCCAAGTGGCTCTGACTGCATCATAGTTAATTTTGTCATGATTACTGTCTCAGATGCAATCATTGAGATGGTTGCAATGCATTTCTAGTATTTTAAGAGTCACGATTTTTAAGGTCATTTCTAGGTAAGAAATTACATCTATTATTTCCCCCCTCCGCGACGGTTCAGAAGAGTATTAGGGCTGTTAACGACATCTGTCGCAGAAGGCAAACGGGAAAATCAAATGGCATGTGCAAACAAATACGACTTTTATCCGACATCTTAGCATTTTCAAGATAATCTATTTACATATGTGTATGAACTCTTCGATATTTGTTTTCTGATTCCTCATATAAAAGTTTAAGTATATAAGTTATTATTAACATATCTGCATCAACGGGTTTCGCTAGGTTAAATAGCGTACACAATCTTTCCGAACGGGCTACAAACAATCCAGACAAGTGAGGAGATAATTTGTGAAGCTATACACGTAACCACAACTCCACTAATATATAGAGCTCTAACCACGCCACCATCATTATCAGTCGCTCGCAGCTGGCCCGATGTGAGACCACTGCAGCCGGATGACGATGTATGCGTAACCAACGTCACACAGTGTCCACGCTGCACATCGTCAAGTAGGCCCAATGGATGAGTGAATAAATCATCGTGAAGTTAGACGGACGAAAAAAGTATTTCGAACAAGGCCACGCTAAAACGAATCGCAAATTAGACGATTAGCGTACCAAAACCACAAGTGAGAAGACACGAACGAAAATTGGAGTGATTTTTAATAACTTCGACTGTACGAACTACAATCAGTTGTAAATCCTTGAACAAATTGCTGGGGCTTTGTTTAGTGCCCGTCATCAATTGGTTGTCAGTCATTAATTTATCGCACTTCTAAATACCGCGCTGGAATCATAAAAAATTGTTTCACACATCATTTATCACTCAACTGTCCGGATGTCGAACGGTAAAAACGTCTGAAATAGTCTCAAAACAAAAGTGTTGAACAACAAATCAGAATATTGATAGTTCAATAATAACAGTTGACAAAATAACAAGTAAAAAAGCAACTAAGTTCGGCCGGGCTTTCACTATTCGGAAGGAACTTAAAAATTTTCAAAAAAAAAAAAACCATCGAAAAATACGGCCTAAATGTAAACCTTCATGAGGGGCCTATAAGAAGACGTGGTGCTGGATAAGCAATTCTTTTTGAAAGGTTGTAGTAACGATTCCGAACTTCATATACAAAATTTGACGCAATTCCAGTGAATAATGTCACTAATGTCATCAAAATGCCGAATAAAGGGGCTACCGTTGTATGGGTCCTGTACTTACACGTGGACCTGCATAGACAATTTTCCGTCATATTTTGTAGTACCCAATAGGAACTTAAAATACTAAATTTGACGCAATTCCTGTGAATAATGTCGCGAAAAATACCAAATGGAAATACCGAATATCTCGGGTTAGCGTTATATGGTTGCTGTACTAAAACGTAGACCTACATAGCCAATTTCTTCCAGGGAGTAAAGTACTCAGAGGGAACTCGTTGCGTGCATTTTCGGACGGACGGGTTAAATCAGGGCTAGCCACAAAATGTCAAAATTTGTTGTGATTTCATTTGGTTTTAAATGCAAAGTTATTATTTTGGACAAACATGCGTATGACCAAAATGCCAACCGAGTAATAGTAATTACCACAGGCTCACATACACATACATGTATAAGAAAAAACAAGAAAATGATGCAATTTTAATTTTTACAAATTATTAAATTTCAAATATTTAGTTTTATTTATGTGCTCCAATATTTCTAGCGATGTATTCATCAAAATATTAGGCAGTGCCGACAGCGACATAATCGACTGATCGATTAAAACTAAAAATTCTGTCCATGGTAGAAATACCAGGCGAAATACATAGGCGAAAATTACTACAGAGCAACATTTTTTGAACGAATGCGTTCGCTGTCAAATTGATTTGAAGCATGGCGCAATTACAGAAGGTAGAACAAAGCTACCTCCTAAATACATTTTTGTTTTTAGTACCCCTATTCTGTCTAAACATATACACATTACGAACATTATTGTTTTGAACAAAAATAATACAAAATTATTCCAAATTCAGAAATAAATGCATATTTTTCGACGTTAAGGGCCAACAAATTGTAGAATTTTGGAATAAAGCTGTATTGTAATCTCGCCCATAATTCGTAGTCCTCCACGTACGAACGAGTGACATTTGCATTAATAGATGTTCAATTGTTGCTACCTCTTCAACATCTTTAGACAGTAGGATTTCTTTATGTATAGCAGCGACAGATATTTTCACAAATTTGGTCTTTTGTGGATTGTGCGCCATTTATAACTAATGATATCTGATATCCAACAGAGCAGTTCACAGGTATATCAAGGCCTATTTAAACATCGGAAATACTTACGTTTCTGTAAAAAATTAAAAAGGTACAGAGACCTAAATCTACTGTGAGTCCAGGCAGAGGTCTTATCCTGTTCTTTCTACACTTTTTCAATCAGAATTTAAACGATTAAAAAAGCGTTAAGTTCGCCGGGCCGAACTTTTTATTTATAACTAGTTTATTGCATTGACTGCAACTAAAATAGAGAAAATTTACAAAACTGCTAAATATAAAATAATAAAATAATTGTGAATTATATTTTTTATATCGAAGCCAATGAGCACATAGACTCGCTTTAACTTTCGGTGCAGTATTCTCACATATCACTTATTTTTGTGCCTTGTACTTTGTCAAGGTTTGTCCTTATTGGAAGTCCCACTTTCCGTCGAAGTATTATTTAAAATACTAAGAGTTTTTAAGGGTTCCAATAGATCTTCACGAGATCTGCAGGAGAGTTTCGAAACATGAGCATCACATTTTAAGTAGATTCGTTGCTTTGATTTGTAACAGTAAAGAATAAATGGCTTACTAAGTTTGTCATTCCATTTTCAGACAGAATTGTTTCTAACATTTGTATGTTTCAATATTTATTCGTTGGAGGGAAAGTGCCACTTTAGGCAAGTTCGTTCGAAGAAATTCGAATGGGACAGAATCAGTTCGCTTTGAGGGTAGATATATCACCAATCTTAGTTAGTAAAAATGCTTCCTTTCGTTTTTAATGTTACTGATTTTATTGAACTCCATCAATTACCAATCGATATTCACACAAGATATTGAACGAAGATATTGTTTTTTTTTTTTTTTTTTTTTTTCAAAATAATGTTCTAGTGGTGCTTTGTTACTTTATGGAAATAAATAAGTTCACATATTAGAACGGAAATGGCCAAAAGTACATTGGAGCAATAGAATAGCCAAATCCACTTGAGGTCGTCCAGCTCTATCGCATCGACACTTTCTTCTGGGGTGCTGAGATCACGAAAGGCGGTAATTTTCAAGCGGACCATAGTATAAAAATTGACACTTATCCAGTATTGCAGCAGACCTGTTTCCCGTAAATGCAGCAGATGCTTATCGAATAACGATTTGTACGGTAAATTAGGACGCAAGGGCACCGCCAGCAACGCTTGCTTGCTCAGACACAGATGTGAGGAGTAATAAAATAAAGTCCTCTGAAACAGGCGCTGTTGTTCGTTGAAAACTTCCCATCTTGTGTTGGAGACCGGATAGACGAAGCGCGTGTCCATACTCTCCCTTAGCTTTAGAAAACGATCGTATGGCTCGATGGAAACGAATAGCTCTTTGTACTTGATGTATGTTGGTTTGTCCAAGAATTCCAACTCTTGTGAAGTTATGGCTATTTTAAGGCCAGCCTTGATCATGTCGTCGTACGATCCCACTCGCTTTTCCAACGCCGGGTGTATGAGATTCGATTGCAGGTACGCCTGGTATGTTGTAGATATAATAAGACTTGTGTAACACAACAGAAAACATATGTACTTCATCCATAGGCGTGGCTTCTTGGGCATTACGAATGACTGGCCCAGAAGAACACGTATACTTCTATCATTTACTATAACATTAATGAAAGAGAGATTCACATTGACGGATTCGCTTGTCCCGATGTGGAACAACATGCCGTAGATGATGGCGAGCACCACAATGATAATCATTACGCGCGAATCTATGATATAGGTAAAAATCTGGTTGGCTTTCATACGACGCGGCAATGGAATCATATAACAGAGATCCATCTGCTCTAGAGGATAGGAGTACTGAATTGTGGAATTGTTCTTATAAGGCGTGACAATCGCTGGTATATCGAGAAGACCTTCCGAGGTTCTGTTTAGGAGCGTTTCATAAAACACTGCCCTGCCTACCTCCAGGGGAGGTTGTATCACTAAGTTAGCATTGAATCTCTCGGCAAAGGAAGTTATACAGTTGGCGATGAAACCTTCCAGTTGTAAGGCCCCTTCTGCATTGTAATATAAAATGCTGCGAGGTGGCAATTGATCAGATTCGGTAATTATCTCTAGTCCATTTAAGCTCACTTTTGGTTGGCCAAAAATTTCAGCTATATTTGAAACAAATGTATTTTTGATTCTTTGTGAGCGGTAGGTGTACAACCGGTCCGATTCTATAGAACCACAGACCTGTAGTAGGTGTATTCCACTATTTTGCCCGACTAAGCTATTGCAGAGCGCATGGATTTGTTCAACACTATCCATCCATATAAGTTGACAGATTACAAATGGCGTATTGGTACCTATTACATGGATACTCGCATTCCAGTAATACGAACAACAACATCGTAGCGATAATGTATTGTTGTGATCCCGTTTATTAAAAATTCGGCGGGTAAAGCTTTCTAAGGTAACTATGCGTGGCTCCTCATCTATCCGAAGCATTTTTCGAAAAAAACAACAATATTTGGAATTGCTACAAGCATCCCATGCCAACACGAAATCTTCTTCCAACCCGGACTTAAAAATTCTGATTAACTTTAGGAGCATTTCACCTTCTATAGCAAAGTCGCCTGTATGTTCGTCAATTTTAATTCCGAAAACAATCTCACTTTCCAGATTGTCGCTGTTTGATAACGAACAAGCAAACAAAACCAAAAGCACGCCCGAAAAAATAATTATTTTCATATCCATTCGTCTTCAGGTACTAAATACAGCCCGCGGTCGAATTGTTGTAGTCTCTCTTCATAAATGAACTTGATTAAATATGCATTGCAACGGCATGTTTCGTCTACTACCTGCAATGGTATATATGTATTTACACGCCTATATTTGCAACACAGGACGAGGCGCCATTCATATTAACTTAGACTTATGTACTTATCTGGTACAATTCCAACCAACATCGGTTACTAGTAAAAGTAATTGTTTCTGAGATATACACATACATACATACACACCATGTACATGTGTGGCGATGTAATGTTGTAAACAAAACAAAACACCAATGAATGAAAATATATGACATTTTTTAACCACAACACGTTCCGAGCAGGGAGGACAACAGCGATTGAATCGGATGTCATATACAACCTAGAAATAACTATAGCAAATATATTTGAAATGGCACAGGACGTGCGCACAGCTCACATGCATAGATTTCGACCGATTGGATATGTAAGCAGTCTTAACATCCGATCCATACAGGTTGGCCCTCTGAAACTCATCCTACATTGTCTTCATTGTACCGTGGGCTATACAGAACTAGATTGAACAGAACTAGATTTAACAGAACTATATTAAATATCTTCTGCAGGAACGATTTCTATGCCGAAACTACGAACTACTCCGCATGTAGATCAATGTTGAAGTATAAGCGTGATATACCAGCCTTATATCACGCTTATACTTCACATTCATAAACGCCCAGGAAATATGGCTGGTATATGAGGAAGGGATGAGTTGAAATTTGGTATTAGAGTCAGTTTTTTTGAGATATGAAGGTTGTTTTGCCACAATTCTAACATGGTATAATTATTACAGGGTAACTGTAAGTGCCGACGTTTTACAAAGTTACAGAAGTGCCAAATTTATTGCCAATAAATAATAATTGTCATTGAAATTAATACAAAGTCAACCAAAAGATGCAACCAGAAGGGGCATTTGAGTGGCTAAATGGCGATGGACACAGTATGGACACATTTTATGTCACCATAACTGATGGAAAAAGAGAATGTCACTCTCCACGATATAGTATACATTATTTAGAATATAATGTCATGCTATAACACAATACATTGCACTCTAAGAGAGCTGTCGCTTTTATAGGTTTCTCACTGATTTTAATGGTTCCATGTGCAAGGAATTGATTTTGGACTTCATATCTATTATTTCGAGTTCTGAATAACATATGGCTGTTATGTTTCTACTGATTTTTGTCCATGTCTGTGACATTGCATTGTGCCTTTGGCCTTTGTGCTTTAACCTTAAAGTACATTTATGTTTGTGGACACGTCAAATGAAACGACCAATGGATTTCACTTGACCTATACCTAATGGAATTAGCGATTGAAATCCACCGGATTTGTTATATGTGTACGGAACTGTAAACACACTTTAAAAATAACACAAACGGAAACTCCTTCGCTTTGACTTCATTATTGGTGACAAAGTGTCCACTTTGAATAGAGGAAAGACTATTGTTAGTAATATTTTGTTTGAAAAAAATTAGTTTAGTCAATACTGCAGAAAATTATGATTTGTTATGCATATTTTCAAACAAGTTTGGGGCGATAAATGAAACAATGATCTCTATTGTCCACCCTTGATTCCACCAGCATTGTTAATAATTCCGAGTACCAATAACGCTGTGCGTTTTTGACAATTCAATTGTTAATTCGATCTATTGTAGTTGTGCGACGCGGTTATTAATACTAAATATTTCTACATCGATTCAAACCGATATGTTAGCCACTTTATGGCGAAGAGGCACGCTTTGATCAGCTCTGATCTTGCACTCTCATTTGGGCATTGTGTAATGGCTAACCAACGGGCTATGGTCACATACCAAAGACATTATACATGTTTATTATATAATCTGTTTGGTTTAAGCCACAATTTAAGAAAATTATACGCATTATTTGTTCCGTTTAGACATGCGTCATCTGCCTAATGGCCTTGCGTCCATACTAAACTGTTAATTAGTGTTCGCCATTGGCTCTATTTTATGACTCCATAAAATATTAAATTTGACCACAACTTGGCATTTCCAAGAGCAAGCCACAAAGTAGTAGTGTCAGTCTTAAAATAGTTTCTTAACAATGGCAAGCATTTGCAATATCTACAAAATTTAAGCATGTGGGTGCTGAAAGCTTTTGTGATTTTGTAAAGTTTACAACTTCTCGCAAATAAAGCATCTTAACAGCCAGCGACGGCGCAATGGCTTCTCAGCACATAAAATCTGAATGGATGCAATGCCGATACAACATGTGGCATTCCGTGAATTTCATTTTCTGTTTGGTAACATCTATTTTGAACTTGTAGTTTTTCTCTTAAATTCAAAATTCCAACGACAAAGATCGATACTTTTTTATGGATTTATTTTATGCCCCAATTCACAGAATTGCCGGAACCAAAAGAGACATTTACATTATTCGACTCCCTTCTTTTCCATAGTTCGTTTCGTTGACTTTTCTAGAAAAAAAAGAAACAGTAATTAAAGTCTTTAAGTCGGGCGGGGCCGACTTTATGATACCCTACACCACTTTGCTAATTAGTAGAGCTCCACATAACAATTAAAAGTTTATGGGAGAATTCAATCATATACGCTATGATTATAATTAGAATTTAAAGGTCAAAGGACAAAATATGCCGAAGCATTTGTATCTTTTAAATTCGGACTTGTATTGTCCATTTGGTGCGCAATTAATTTGAAATCGGATAAAAATATATATGGGAGCTATATCCAAATCGGAACCGATCTCGATAAAATTTAGCAAAGGTATTTCTGAGCTGTATTTCACATATTTCCCCAAATATTGTTGTTACAGAGTGCATATTACGGCGCGGAGGACAAAAATAACAAATCGGATGAACAATATATATGGCTATAGCTATAGCTACATCTGAGCCGATTTCGATAAAATTTGGCATACTTATTTGCAGGGCTAATTTGGTTGTATGTGCAAAATTCCATACTATTCGGGCTAATATTACACGTTTGGTGCACAAAAAAGCAAATCGGACGAAGAAATATATGGGAGCTATATCTATATTTTTACCGATTATCTCCAATTTCAATAGGGTTCGTCCTTGGGCCAAACAAATGATTTGTGCAAATTTCATCTGGATCGGGCAATAAATGGGAACTGTACTTTGTTTACAAAATACATGGACAGACGACGGACGGACATTCGTAAATCGACTCAGAATGTGATTCTATGCAGATCATCAGAAGGAACTATGGGTCTATCTCGTTTCCTTTTGCCTGTTACCAATAAATGCACAAAACATTATACCCTGACCACCTTTGTGGTGTAGACGGACGGACATTCGTAAATCGACTCAGAATGTGATTCTATGCAGATCATCAGAAGGAACTATGGGTCTATCTCGTTTCCTTTTGCCTGTTACAAATAATGCACAAAAACATTATACCCTGACCACCTGTGGTGTCGGGTATAAAACTCCTCTTATGCATTCATAACTTAAATAATGTATAGACAAAGAAAGGTTTTTTTATGTTATCATAAAATATGATAACAGGTCTGTTAGCGCCCTCTCTTTCTGAGAGTAAGAAAATTGTTCTCTTTCATAAGAAAATAGAGAAAAAAGTAAGAGACAGTACAGAGCTTTATATATAATATCGAATACATAGTACAAATGAGTACTTATTGCAGGTTCTGGAATATACATTTTATTCACATTCACAATAACTTCTCGGGAAAAAGATTAAAAGTCGAGCAATTGGGAGTAGTGATTTTACGCCATACATCGATGCAGTCGGTATGGTGTCATAAAACTAGGTAGTCCGGAAAATCAAATTCCTATATAATTAAGTGGTCGGTGACATTAGTAATCGAGAGCCAATAAAAATACGAAAGATAAACAAAAGCGCGTAAGTTAATATAGAGAAACAACATTAAAACTAATGTTGTGTAAATAGGGATCAACAAAATTTATTTTGATGTTGAAGAGTTACATATACCACA